ATGATCCCGAAAGTGGAAATACTTTTCTCACGTGGTTCAAACGTTGGGAAGATACATTTAGAACAGAATTCTGTAACCAAAACGATGCGTGGAAGACCCGATTGTTGGTACGTAAGTTGGGAAGCAGTGAACATGCACGTTTTGCTGACCATATATTGCCAAAGTTACCTCGAGAGCTCAGTTTCGAGGAGACGGTATTTCAGTTGTCAGAGATATTCGGCGAGTCATCCTCGTTGTTTAGTATTCGATATCGGTGTCTAAATTTGGTGAAACGCGAAGCTGATGAATATGGTGTTCTAGCAGACATTGTCAACAGAGAATGTGAACGTTTCAAGTTACGCTCGTTGACTGATGACCAATTTAAATGCTTAATATTCATCAAAGCTCTTCAGTCACCACAAGATGCTGAGATCAGGACGAGACTTTTAGCTCGACTGGATCAAGACCCAAACGTCACACTCAGAACATTGACAGATGAGTGTAAGCGTCTACAAAGCATCAGACACGACGAGTTGATTGAACAGGTAAATCCTAATTTAACCTGCGGTAGTGTAAATACTATTACTAGGTTAAAAGTTCAGAAGCCGATAACAACTCGTAACAAACCAAGGACTGCATGCTGGTTATGCGGTGATTGGCATTATGCACGATTCTGTCCATTCAAGAAGCATAAATGTCAGGAGTGCAACAAACGTGGACATAAAGAAGGTCATTGTCCACCGAAGCGTACGTCTCAGCCTAAGAAGAAGCATAAACGTCCTCGACATGTGAAATCAGCCGAGTCTAAATCTCTTTCTCTGGTAGCTGCTTTTCAAACAAACTATGACATTCGGAGAAAGTATGTTACCATCCAGATAAACGGCATATCAGCTCGTCTTCAAATTGACACGGCATCAGATATCACGTTAGTGTCTAGAGAAACGTATAACTTGCTGGGTAAACCGCCAATGAAGCCATCTAAGAAAACGGCTAAAAACGCATCAGGTGGTGTGCTAAAACTGGTTGGTGAATTACAGTGTGAATTTTCCTTCAATGGAACTAACTGTACAGGAATATGTTACCTAACAGAACGGCCGAACCTTGATCTTCTTGGTCTAGATATGCTAGACAAACTTGGAATAATGGATATACCAATTAACAGTGTCTGTAACGTATCGTGTTCATCATTGGACACCCCATTACTTCCAAAGAAGACAGGTAATAGGTTACTAGGAAAACCGAAAAGAAAAATACGAATACATTTCGATGTCATCCGTCCTACGCCAGCTATTGAACCCCAACGAAACCTATCGACGGAGAATCAGTTTAACCGACATCATGGGGCACAAAGACGATTGTTCACGGTGGGACAAAAAGTGCTTGCTATGAACTATCGTGGGAAACATCCTACATGGACAGCTGGTCGGATCTTGAAAAAAGAAGGGGAGTGTGGTTTACGAGGTGTCAGTTGGCTCGGAAGTTTGGGTACGTCATGCTAACCAATTGAAAGCAACCTCGATAGCCAGCAACAAGATTCAATATCGATTACCTCTTGATGTTCTGCTAGACACCTTTGAAATCAAAACGCCGGGAATAGACACATCAGTTTCTGTGCAAGAAAAGAGTGATACTTCTTTATTGCCTAGACGATGGACTAATCGAAAGCACAGGCCAGTCACTCAGTTGCAGTTGGACCCTAGCACCAGATCCTACGAATCTGCTCAGAGGGGAGGTGTTAGCGGGACATAGACTAGATTAAAGCATGCTCAATGCATGATTGTTTTGGTGCACGCTGATTGGCTGATTCTTATCCAATCAGCACCAGTCGATAGTCGGAGAATATTCTGGAATCTTCTTATGTAAAAAACTATAAATATACCGACGTTTTCCCCCATTGTGCTTCTGACTTGCTATTTGGAATATAATCTTTTTTCCTGTTCAACCGTGTTTTGATTTGGGGACTTGTCGAGTGAATCTGTGTCCGAGAATACTAAGCAATAGGAATAGCTGGGCCATCAACCGTAAGAAAGCAGAGTTATAACAGTGTGACTCTACTTAAAACATATTTCCTGCATTGAATCAAGAGTTCACTAGAACTGACTAGATGGTGAGGATCAACGGCACTTGATATGACGTCATTAAGGTTTGATTCTTCTGAATCATCTTCATCAAATTTCTTGAAAATCTCATTGGTAGATAGGGGATCACTAGTATAATCAGCATCTATCAAAATTTCATTAGGTTCTTGATCATCATTCTATACATCCCACATATTTTTCTCATTTTCGTAAGAAATTTGATCAAGAAGATGTGAGTCATTAAGATAACTCATATCTGGTAAAACAACTAGAGAACCTCGATAAGTAGATTTATTAGGAACTTTGTCGTAGAATGATGAGCTCCATTTGATGCAGCTGTCTTCATTATGCTTCTTGATTCATTTTCTGTTTCTTCGTGGGCGGGTACTGCACCAATTTCATGTGCATTTAACAAAACATCGTCCTTCTGTGAGTTGGACAGGTCAGTGTTTGTACATTGTGTTTCGGGGACAATGGGATTTGAACTCGCTACAGGGCATGTCTCTGAAATAGACGTTTCCGGACCACTGGGCGGATCATGAATGACTGCTACTGCTTCGCTTAAATTGCTGATTGTCAAGGATTCATAGAGGTTTTTGTTGACACATTCATACATTCTGCAATCATTTTCCAGCTCTGTACGCAATTCAGATATTAGTTCATTAACTCCTGTCACATCTCCAAAGCATGGATGATTCAGCAGCCGTGTGTGTAATTTGTCTAAAAATTCCAACTGATTCTTTTTAAAACGCTGTTGTCGCTGAAATAGCAACTGTAATTGATCAGAAGGGAGAGCCATTTTCTCTTTCTGGATGAATCAACACGGTAATAGAAAATACAGCATGACAAGTTAATAGCCTGTTTCGTTCAAGGACACCGACGACAATTCTGTATGCTGATTGTCTTGGCTTTTTTCACCCCGTCACCACTGATATGTCTCAGTTATACAATTGAATATTATAGACAGATTATTTATTAACTCGTAGATAATCACCTAGCTTATTACTATTGTTTATTGCGTCAAAATAACTTACAGTATGTTTCGATAGATGATTTATCGCTTACTTTCCATCCTTTTGCCAAATTATACAGTTTCTCAGTACATCTTTACAACTATATATTCACGATAACCAGTATTCGTGTTCTTGTTGCAAATTAATTGCATTAGTTCAGTCAGCGAGACTATGATTTATGAACGAATCAATCAGATTTAAGATAGCACGCCTTGGATTTTGGCGCGAAATTCATCTGCTTATTTGGCTAAATACCATTTTGACATTATAGCTGATGTCAGTTCGTGATGAAAACATTAAATCTAATTCCTAACTCTGGCGTTCAATTGTAAATCCTAATCCTAATTCCTCACACTAATATATAACCCTCATCTAACCTTAGTAAGTAGGTGAACATTCCAAGGTCATTTTAGCACTGCTCAAAGGTCGTCTATAAATTATAGTCTCACCGTTTGGTCTCTCATACCCGTGTTATGAACTTCGTAAAAATATGTTATAGACTATCAGTTATTCAGTCGGTCGGTCATAATCAATGTAGAATCCGGTACATCATCTAGCCATTCGTCCTAGTTATTACATCACATCAAAACAACGAGATGACTATCAATGTACATAGACGTCGTAATAATAATATCAGTAATACAAAGTAAATTAGGCGGAAAAATGGATTCACGAAATAAAATGTATAAAATAATTTCAAAACTTGGAACCTCAGGAAAGGCAAGGAGTGAAGTCATCTGCACAACTGCAATTGATTTTGAGCCATATTACCCAACATAATAGACTAAAAATTTTGTAGATAAATGAATGGTTTAAAAACTGTTATAAGAAATGCTTAGAATGTCAATTAATAGATAGAATGCAATAATATTATTTAACCGAGTGATAACGCCTCACGATAATGAAATTGTTCATGTAAACCTACGGACAAACTTAACTTGGAAAATTAAAGCACTAACTATAAAAATAGGTCGTTTATCTAGTAAATAACATGTTTCTATGGGAAATATTAACACAATGATAAATATGATTAGATTATTATAAGCAATTGGAGAATAAAAATTTTGTCGGTCACTCACTTTCAAATGAAATTAAGACGTGGTTATCGAGCGTAACCCTTGTCTATTACACCATATTATCAACAGTATTCAAATGAAATTTCAATTGTATTACACTTTATGAATAGTAGGGCGAGAAATGTGTCGAAAAATTACTGTTAACCAGTAGTAATCGCGTTCCCTTCCACTCGACATAGTGTCTACAAATTAACGATCACTATATGGTGCGATTTTAGGCGGTAGGAGGTAGTCGGCATAAAACGCTAAACTAAGGTTTCATACTAACCGATACCCGTTAGTAAGAAGTGTCTAGAATGTAGAAATTGATTCGAATCTCACAAGAAACATCAGTTCCCTCGAAACTGCAAGTACGCCTCCATGATAAATGCCAACTAGTATAAAGCTTGAGTTCAAGGTTTCTTCCCCCACTACCTTGAGCAACATTACAGCGTGGTGGATGAAATTTCAGCACTACTAAAAAACGAATAGATAAGCGTGGTATTACTCAATACTCAGTGATTAATCGTTTGTAAAAATGTTAGTCAGTTTGTTCCCTGTTCTTATTATCTACATCAGTTTATATTTATTGTTGTTTGTTTTATTATTCTTGCACAGGACTTGAAGTCGAAATTAGATCATGGTCACTCATTAAAAAGTGAACTGAATAAACATATTTTAAATCTTCCTGATCTGCATCTTCTACCTGATATGACAAATTTCGGTTTAGATCCGTTACCAACAGTTGGTGATCTATTCGGTTAAATTTCTAGTCTCAACTTATGTAATCATCAGTTCATGTAGTATTGTCTATCTTCCTTCTTGACTTACTTTTCTATGTATATCAGTCCAATGTATAAAGCTTAACATTTTGTAAATATAAATTTTATTTCTAGTAATATGAATTGTGTTTTTCCCCCGAGTTTATATTATATGATATCTGTTCATATGTTCAGCTCCTCTTCAATTTCTTTCACGTGTATGTATGATTGAATGAATGAATATGTGTATGAAACAGTTCATTCAAGTTGTACACCATTATTTCATTGGTGATTTCTTTTCTTTCAATAGAGAAATGTATTTAAGACTTTCTTTATTATTTCAAGAGCTCTACTTGTATTTATTATTTATTTATTTGAACACATGAATATTGGTACAAGAGAGCGCCAATATATATGCGCCACACAAAACAATGAGAATTCGAAGAGAAGTAGAAAAAAAACTAAGGAGCGCAAAAGAAAAAGAGAACAATGACGAAGAGATTGGAGTAAGGTAGTGTGGTAGTAACGACGGAACGAAAAGGTACAATCAGAAGAAATCTTTCAGGTAAAGGAGACACAACCACTTTTTATGAAGAAAGTGAAAGAAGGTTACAGCAGGATCGCCACTGGCTTCTATTCTGAGCCATATCTGATAACGTCTCTAGCCACTGTGTAGCACCATCTCTCAGACCCCAACCAGGGAGTCGTGAAGGACCAACAGAAGCCAATCCTTTGCAGCTTTCTTTCATACCACGACACCATGTCATGCACTGACCACCTCTCCGCTTCTTCCAACCAGTCCCAGAGTCGGAAAATAATGCACGACGTGGAATTCTCTGGGACGACATTCGGAGAACATGTCCAAGCCACCGAAGTCGGTGTTTCAAGATGGTGACACCAATTGAATTATCACCTCTGTGCTCTACTTGACAATTCAGTTTAATAAAGTAGAAGTCTACTTTTGAATAACTTTGCCAGTATTGTTTAACTCCAATTAGTACCTAATACGGAGTATAATGAAAACGAACTATCACTGGCTTTCAGTTTATTTTGAAAACACTAGTTAATATTTTTGGTTGAAATGGGAAAAAAATCTTTTTAAGAATAAGCACATTACACTAGTTTTCTATATAGCTCCCTAAACTATGAAATCCTAAATCCTACACAAATGACTAACTTCTAAGTAATGATTGTCTGATTAGGATTTCAGTTTACGGCTTACTACTGGTTTAAATTAAAATCTGTTGGTAACTAAATTCTGCGGTAAAAGTATACTATACTGACGACCTTGGACAAATTTTCACTCAATAAGGAAATGCTGACTAGTTATAAAACAATTAGCAATACAAACCAGTGAAATAACAGAGGAGTAATAGCTTTAATCTGAATAATTAAACATCTCCAAACCATAATCTTTCCGATTGCTGCTTATACTTTTACTGTCTCTACCACTACGGGATTTAAATCGACAACTGCATCTCTGTGCTAATGTGGTGTGGCAACTCGAACTGATGTACCTACGTACGAAGTTCTACGTTGTTATTGACTGACTAGAATTAAACCACATATGTCAAATTATCCCTTTTAGTGAAGTAAATAGGTCAAGTATACACATATAAATACAAATTAAGAGTCGAGCTAGTATTATCACCCCTTAGAGTTTTCGTCACTAACTGACATCAGCGATAATGCAAAATGTTTAGTGTTAGGCATTATAGGTTTAGCAGGAGTTCTGAGAAGGGTTTACAAAGTCGGGTTTTCTTCACGAACTGACTTCAGCTATGAGGTAACATTTTGTCAACCTTCTGTTTATGAACCTAGTAAACTTAGAATTAATATTTAAAATAAGGGTTAGTGGGGGAGAACACTATCTAGCTCCACAAAGCACTCGACTACGCATCGAATCGTGTAAATTACCTTAATACACAATCTGCCCAAGGAGCAAGTATATTTTTCGTAGTTTAGCTTGAGCATCATCTTAAGTTCACTTTTAGGTTACACAATAGATACTTTTGTTAATTTTAAGGACCAAATATTTCAAATACGTTTTACTTTATTAATAATAACACACAAGATATATATCATCGCACTTTAAATTTTGCACAAAATACATGAGGCGTTATCTTAGTTCTGACTGGTTAGCCCAAGATCACCAGTATACTATACTTTCACCAATTCTGCCCACTGATGTGCAACGTTAACCAAATTAAAAATTCAAAAGTCAGAAAATACTAATTTCAAGACCAAATAATTAGCTACTAGTAAACTTGAAGGGTTCCTGGTGATTGTGAAATTTTATTACTTGCACTACAAACCGGCTTCAGTTAAGACAACCAGTAGGATCTCTGAATCACTAGATAATTTTTCCGTCTCAGTAAACCACTCGAGCAGTGGACATCTACAATCCCGCAGTGAATCGAATCCAGAACCTCCAGGTCTCACAGCGATCTCTTAACCTTTAGATAACCGTGAGTGGATTAATGTTAGTAACTGTCTTGTTCTTAAACTCAGTACCGTTTACCTATAAACACTTTTTAAGTGACGTTCAAACCTAACATGTTATCTCTAAACCGATTAATAAAAATTCCGCTACCTCCTGGTGTCGACACCAAAACGTTCTGTTTGTAGTAACACAATTCCTGAAAATTTGTAATATGTTGAGATTATTGACTTTTGGAAACTGACTAACCATAACATGTTAGCCTGTATTTCTTGAGTTCGTTCTTTTCAAGGTTCCAAAACTTGCAGTGTCCACTTAGTTGAATGATCAATAACCTTGTGACGTGAAGATAATCAGATCTTAAAATGAAATCAACCTGCTTTGTTATTAATTTCATTGGCTAAAATGACATTAATAAAATATACTTTTTCAATTTCCATTTATGTCCGAAACTTGTACCCCCTATATGTATGATTATAATATATCTATCTGTAGTTGTTATGACTTGTAATGCTAATCGCTATCACGTGTTAAATTCATCAATTAGAATTCCGACTATAATTTCCCCTATCTTGCTTCTACTATTTAATTCATAACCTGGCATCCTAGACTGTACCAATAACACTTCTGATCTAAACCATTAACCGTGAGCCAACATGCTAAAGCTCTTCTCTATGCCGCGCTTTGAGTTCAAAAAGTCAACAACCAGTTTATTCAATTATGACCCAAGACTCGTACAGTAATATACTCGAAATGACTGATCACGTAGAACACCAAATGCGAGACCATACTTTAAACACAATCATACCACAAGTGGTGTTAAACACAGCAAATAGCAGGTGGAATCCATATTTATATTTATTGCGAGAAGTTAAAAAGTATTTACATAATGCCCATACAAAGCTTCAATTGTCCATTTTCATCTTTCGATGTATACTTCCATCTGAACTGTCTTCGCGTCTTGTCTCCAAGTGTTCTGCCAACGCCGTGCTTTCGATGCACTGAAACTCTTCACTCAGTTTGATAATTGTAGCAACTTTGACGTCACTTCTCGCAACACACTACTTACAAGCAATCTTCTGAGTAGCGTCCACTACAGTGGTAGACGGAGGAATAAACAGTGCATACTTAGTTAACAGTAACTAAGAGATAATAAAATGTATAGCGACAGTTAATAGGTCTGCTCAAAGCTTACGATAAGAGAATATAGAAATGCAAAAATACAGTTATCTAGTGCTTCTGTAATGAAAATATAGGTAATAATAGTCCGATAAGTAGTACCGAAAGTCCCAATATTCGTCCCATTATAACAGTTAATATCATATAAATGTTGTCAGCTTTAAAACCGTCTCACATCAGTATCCACCAACCTTTTCCTCCCTGGTCCTGTCATTCCCGAATACTCGAATTAACGTATCGAAAGATTTTATTTTGATTTGTATTCAGTTAAATGGTGACATATTATTCATGTAAAATTAAATAAACGTAGGACAGCAGCTAAGACGTTCCACCTTCAGTCACTAAGTCTCCTGTTCGAACTACGTTCTACTTCGGTTTACGCAGCTGGCTAGTCTCACTAGCCTTCATATTTAAAGTTTGACTCGAAACCAAATGTTAGAATCTGCACCCGGCAGTAAATTAATGCTAAAATAAATTCTGTTCATCCGTTATTCATCGTTGATATACTTTTGTATTGTTGTTAAAGAATTTTTCTTACAATTTAAATTTTCTAACCATATTACTTAAATGATAGACAAAACAATTTTGGTACATGATTCCCACCGGTCTAAAATGAATAGACACAAAGAACTGTATGCAAAACAATTTCAGCATAAAGAAAACAAATGGAGAGATCTACTACACAAAGTAAGTTATGTTCTCTATAACAAAGTTTTTATGATTATGTCTTGGCAATGTTTGAATATGCTGTCAATCTACATGGTTACTTCTGTTGTTATTTGTGCCATAATTACTATTATCTTGTATGGCTAACACTAATGATAACGAAATTTATCACTATAGTATAGTAACTACCAATGTCCAACTCTATCGGGTAAGTAATCGTGAGGTTAGACGCAGGGTATTTGGCAATGATGGTAAATCAGTTGGTGAAATTGTGAATCCTAATCGACTGAGATGGTTGGGTCACATGTTACGTATGCCTGAACACCGATTAGCATGACGTGCAATACTGACTAGTGTTGGAGACGGCTGGAAGAAATTTAGGGGCGGCCAAACCAAAACGTGGCATCAGTGCTTGAAGTCACTAACTTCTAATGTGAACCATGTTGGTAGATGCAGACTACATGGTTGGGGTCCGCATGACTACCGTAACCAATGGTTGGAAACTGGGTGACATGGCTCAGAATCGACCACAACGGCGTCAGTGTATACACTCTTTGTCTTCCCTTAAACCGTGAGATTAAAATTACTTTATACCTTTCTTCCTACAAGGTAATTCTTTCTCCCTGTATTATATCTTTATATGCAATCTCTCTTTTATATATTACTACCTTTGAAGTAAATACTTCTCTGAATTTGGTGTTCATCTTGTGCTAATGAGGTGTGGCAACTTGGGCCGATACCATGTATGTGCCTGGTCCTACGTTGTAGTTGACTGACTAACTGATCAGCTCTACAGTACTTATTATCAGGTTAGGCTAATCCAATACCGTATGTATTGGTTGCCTATGAACAATCAGTATCATTCTTCAAAGAATTTTGTTCGATTTTCTACTCTAGGTTATAATTAGATAAAGATGTGTCTGATTCTTCAATAAGAAAATTATATACATTACTTCCTTCAGTCGTTATAATACCCGGTAATAATCTGATTTTTGCTGAACTAGCTATAAGCTTAAGAGCCCAATGATATGTAGTATTTCAACACTTAATATTGCCATTTTTTATGTTTTTCTGGTGTACCGTAAGTTTTTGCAATATATCAAATACACTTACTAAATGTTTGTCATTTAAGAAAAACTAAAAGCTTAAGCCTCTCCAGTTCGTACATTTTGTAGGAATAAAAGTCATTATCTGTAACAAACAGTTGTTAATCTGTAAACTATCAACACATTCAGGTCTGATGATCAACTTCTGCTCCAGTATCAACCATCATAGTTTCTTGATAAATATTAAATTATGAATAGAACTTAACTGAGAATATACTGATAACCCTATTGATATGTAACTTATTGTAATCACTAGTTAACTAACAACTATCCTAAGGACTGTTAGTATGAGAATATAATAGCTTCCACAGTTAATTCATCAGATGATCTTCAATTATATTTATTTTCTAAAAAATTTCTTCACAAATTATCAAATTTATTTTTTCGTAATATTACTCTCCATTAATTGCCTCTTATTGTGTCTTTTTATTGCTATCACTTTGCAATACAAGCGTTTTATGGAATCAATGAAATTGAAACGTACACATTTTATCGATCACCTTCGAAACATATACAATTCAGAACCAGATAGTTTAACCGATCAACTACTTCAAGAGAAAAGAGAACTTTTAAAAAGTTTGGTCTCAGGTAGTGAAGTATGTAGTGTATTTATCTACTTGTATTTATATTCCATTATATGGTTATCACGGTCTATCAGTTAGCAAAAACGTGAAAAAAATCTTACAGCATTGTTAATTTTAAACTTCTCTTTTTTGTTATCTACCATCGAATATTATGCAACTTATATACCAAGTATAGATGTAAAATTTCTATAGTTTACATCATCCATAAGCCGTAACTAGATAACCATTAAGAAGTATTTGACAACTCACTAAGCATTATACCCAGGAAATTGTAGATCTCGTAATGAACATTTAAAATTTAAACGACTGAATAGGTACTCATTGGTTTGCATCCATAACTTCAACCAATTCCCAGTATTACACACTCATCTTTCTATGTCATTATTGAATAACTGCTTCACTACTCATATAACTGAACTCCGCCTATCACGGATTTTCTGACCAGAACTCCGAGGTTCGCTTCAATCTGTGACATAAACTTTGAGAACCGTTCGATTTGTACGTGACATCATGTACGGCTTGTCGATTGTTTGCAATCACTAATACACTGGTCTAAAGCTTAACTTTATTAGTTGTTAGAGAAGCATCTCGTTCATATCATCAACAGTTGATAAACAGTACATAGTCATGATATCTTGTTTGCATCTTATTTCTATGAAGGTGACAGTTTTATTACACTATCACTGAATATATATATTCCCAAATAATGTCCATCGACCGGGAATAATCTTATTATTAAGTTAGTTGTAGTAAAAATATTTTTGCTAACTAATGGAAAAAATAATTAATACTATCGGTATTAGATTCTATATTTAACAGTCGTTTCTTTCTCTCTTTCCATCTACCGTTGAAAATCTCCCTTGCCTCCTCCCCCGCTTACCAGGCGGAACAATTGGATCTGGATAGTTTAATCTTATTACAAGACAGAGTTCTAGATGAATTATCTGTTGGTTAGTGGAACTGTTGCTTTTCATTTAATACTTCTTGTATTTTTACCATTTTTTCCGTATTTCCAAACTGCATTTGATTTGTATTATGTTTTCATGAATATTAATCCGATTATGAGATAGATGGTAGAGATTGGTAGCTCTGGTGTGTTGTTTTAATGCAGTTTCGTTCTCTGAACTTGGTAATTTAATTGTGAAGTTTTTAATGTCCTTTTGAACAACATCGTCAGCACAAAATTCAGAAAGTTGTGTAAAAAGTGTGGTCGTTCTTTAATGGAACCCTGAATGACTAAAGTTGTTACTGATGGTGTTGTAAAATGAACAATGAAAGTTCCACGATTACACTATTCAGCTTAGATAATGAAACTCCATCAAAATCTGATTATTACAGGATTGTCTTTTTGACTATCTGAGCTACTTACATAATATAAGCTTTAATATTTCAGGAATTTACCTTAATCCTAACAGTTTGATTATTTTACTCAATCATCTTATTTGCAAGGGTTTGTACCTTCCCACTGTCAATGTTAACGACTGTTATTTATTAATCTATTTTAGCATACGTACGTCCCAAGTGAATTGCCCCTATATCGCCATCTAATTATAAGTTTTTTCTGAAGTTGAATAGTAGCTAACATCAGAATTCAGGACGCACTTTTTATCCAGTTGCACGAATTAGATGGTATCAGGGCTCAGTGTTATGTAGAGTTATGTATGTTTATCTAGTTCTTAATGCTGATCGAATTCTATCAGTCAAGATACAATGCGCTAGTAACTAGTCTACATGACTTGACATCGTGTGTACTATGCTGAAATAGTAAATGGTAGTCGGAAGTCGCTAGGATACCTTGAACCTAGGTTTTTTGTTAATCGACATGTCAGTAGTGCGTACCTGCCGTCTTCAGAGAACTAATGTGTTCTCTGTGAGATTTGTATTCGTGTCTCCCTGCTTCATAGTTTGAGATTTTTCAAATAAGCTATTTAGGCCTCCAGATAGCCATTTAAAAATACTTTAGTTACATATATCTTAGTTCTTGATGAGTAAATTACAACCTGCACTTTGGAGTTAAGTGCTAATTCGTTTGATTGTATGTTATCCGTGGAATACAATACTACATTTTATGACTGTCATTTTAGAAATTGAGGAATATTTCAACCCAGAATTTTGGAATAATACAAATAGTAATAATAATGGTGCAAATCAATTTCATTTGCCAAATGAATCTAACAGTGAAAATGTTCTTTGTCCTTTATGTCGAATGTAAGTTGTAGTTTATGCGAATTGAATGTTATTCGAATACAGTTTTTCTTCTCTGTTTGATTAATTAACTTGACCTTGGATGGATGCATACGATAGTGACTGGTGATATTTAACAACATTAATCGACAATTAATGTGATTTACCGGTTATAATCCCTTTCAGCCTAAATATATTGGTCAACTCAACTGGTGTGACTTACTTCAAGAGATTTCTTAAACTTCTAGTGATAAGTGGTGACTTGTGGAGCCTGGACACATTGGGAGTGGTAAAGTTGTCATTGATGATACTAGGTGATCGTTGCGTTATATACCGGATTGGTTGAAGTGGAAGTTGTGCCAATGAACCCCTACTTAACCTATCTAGCTAAAGGATTCTAAATAGGAAGAAACTTCCATACTAAATTCCACTGCTACTACTATCCACCTATTCTATAAAACGTTTGAAAGAAATAGCTACATCGAGGTTGACGGTTAATGAATGCAAGTATATACCAACAAAGATCGATCAAAATCCAGTCCTGAATATTAACAATGGAATAGTTCAAATGCCTAACTAATATTAATGTAAACCTCATTCCACCTTCAAACAAACACAGCTAATTAACTGGTAATGTAAAATCAGAGGATTTTTCGGTATACTGACCATAAATTAAAACCTTGAATATTTAACTGTTGAAAACTATTATACTCACCAGGATATTGGAAAGATTGACAACTTAGTCTTTGAATACACCAATTTAGTTTAAATCTTTTTGATGACTGTCTGGTTTCAGTAAAGTGCATTAAATTTAATGGTTATCTCCATGTTGAATATTTTGGAAGATTTTGAGATATCAATACCTCATGAATGTGTAAATGACAAGAAATCGCGTTGTTGAAAACATATTATCTTATTATTATACTGGAAGCTAGTAGTAAGGATAGGGGGTCAAGTGATCCATGTTAATCATACTTGAAGCAAGGACTCGTCGCTTGAATTCCATATTACATGTGTGACTTTACAAACTTGTATAATACCCTAAATATTTCTTAATCTAAATTAAGAAATGACTTACGAATAGTCCATAACGATCCTAGAGCCTTTGGCAGCGGTAGCCTTACAGTTATTCGTAGTCCTTGGGTCATTTTTAATTATGACTCCTCGATTCTTCGTATCCGTTTCTTTAGGCAATACCATTCCACTTATAGTGTAGCAGCGCAAATTCTGTAACTATTTGCAGATCCATTAGTTTGATTTTTAGCTAAACTAATTGTATAATTATCATATTTGTTCTTCGGGCGTAAGAATCAAGATCGGTGAAACCCCATCTTCGTACATAGGTGAATATTTAGAACAAAGACACAGAAACCCTTAAACAACGACTTCATCCATAACTAGTGTTACCGAATATGTAAAGAGATCCCATGGGGTTTTTATTTCGTCTACATGCAAGCTACTCAGTCGGAAAAAAATTACCAAAATGAGATAATCTGAAAGCCTTTAATTTCAGTCCGTCATTGTAACTCCCTAATTCTTTTCTAGACATACTAATTTAATTTGAACATCACTGCTAATTCATCATTCTTCCATTCTGTTTCTAGTGGCTATTTATCTATGAGTAGTACAATTCTCACTTGTTCTTCATGCAGTTTAAATCTAGATACTCAAGTGAGTACACCGTTATATGCTTATGTGTCTTTTATTATTAACGAATATATTGTTGTTTTCATAAAAGGTCACATCATGATTCCTCACATTGTGTTAGAACTGGTTTTAACAACTTAGAAGAGTGATTATAAAGCCTAAAAAACAACTTATTGAACCTTGTCACACAAGTCCTTTGCGCAAGTAGTTCTTGATGTGTTAGCTTCGTATATTAAAGTCTTTACCGTTGACGACGGGAATTTGTGAGGCAAGATGAATGAGGTTGATTTTTTAAAGCGCCGACCCATTTCTCCCATTGTGAAAAGACACCATCACTCCAGATGCTGGTTGCCTAAGATGAACCCTCTACTGTTTTCACACTAAAGTACAGTTATCAGTACGATATTCCACTCACACCCCACGTCTGCTACTTTTTAAAGATTTTTTTGAGGAATTATAGAGGGCTCTTAATGTATGGCACTCAAATTTGGTACCACATTCAAGTTCCAATCTTAACATCAACACTGGCCCAGTTATATCCGACTGATGACTCAAAAAGAGACTAAATGTGCTCACTACTGATTAGTATCCAAGGTTATATTGTTAGTGTTAAACCTGCTCGAGGATTCGTACCCAAAAGATTGGGTAACACGTGAAATATCAAAATCAAAATACAGGGCCAGCGCTTGCGATGGTGTAAACAATGGATTTTGCAAAACTCAACTCCTAAGCTATATAAAGCATTTTAAAATGTCAAGGTATGATTAAAAATGTGTTTCATTCAGTAGTTACTCAGGAATTATCTACAGCAAACTATGTAACGACCGGTAGCTGCGTTAATTCACTGAGACATCCGACAAATTGACACGAGAGCTAAGCTCATGAATTATGGGGACTGTTACAAATAAATACATCTCAGTGAATACATGAAAAATGAGAGTAAATAATTTAAAATGTTAAAAGGATACAATTACAATAGTTAATCGATTAGAGGTAATCTCAGTTATTATTGTGAAAAATAGTTAGAATGTTATAAGTTACTGAATTTCAGTCAGTAGTATACGTAATATACAAAATTTAACAGCCTCCGCCACCCTACACTGATAATAATGATGTGAACACTAGTGACTGGTTTCAAAATGGATTTCGTGGAGTTCTGATGGGAAGCTGTGACCAGTGGAGTTCAACCGTGTCCGATGTGAGGCAGTTACTCACTGAAGACAATTGAGAATGGTCGCGCAATATCGTGAATTGGTTGGAGTTAGATACTAACATTGTTGGATTCCGGCTCAGTGGTCTATATGTTAAGCGTTCGCACGCGAGACCGAAGGTCGTTGGTGTGAGTCCTGTGTGCGGATTGTGGATTTGCACTTCTGAGGAATCCCATACCAGGACGAAACGGCCGTCCAGTGCTTCCAGGTTTTCATTGATGGCCTAACATTGATCCGTTCATGATACCAATCAAAACTCAACAATCTTCACAACCCTGTACTGAAGAAACCATCGTATGATGGGAATATGTGGTATGAATAGCTAGCGAACACCTATATATGATTAGTATGTGAGGAATTTGTAACGATTTCAAAATCTCGATAGTTTATGTCACTAATTGTTCTTAGCCAGACTATCATTGAAAACCTAAAAAGCACTGGTCAGTTGTTCCATCCTGGCTAAAATCATTTCGTGATTTAAACTAACGAAAAGTCACTAATTGAATATATGAAACGTTTCTTTTCTCCTACAATTCCTATCGTTTTTTTACTATTCTAGACTGATAGTCTCAATCTTACCACCATAAAAAATAGTTTAATTGATGCAGAAACAAAGCATCAAGCTTCCGGTTGTTCCAATACATCACTACATGCTTGGCTTATTGATCAAAATACTATTAATTGTCAATCACTTACACAAAATGATGACTCAAATGTTAATGACATGCTTCACAAATCAGCAGAAATTGTCCAACTGTTATGCGTTGGGTGCGACCAATGTTCATTCATGGAAGTTGTTGTTTGAAACAAGTAGATAATTAAAGAAATCGAATTTTTATTCCCATTATTTATTTATATGTTTGTTGAATGCAATTAACGACTGAAACTGAATTACTTCGAACTGATGATGTTCTGTTCTTTCTTCCACGTTTTTTATTATTGTGGATCATCTTTGTAATGACTGTTATGGACACATTTACAAGGTTGATTCATTTATGATGTGTGAAAAAATAAGCTTTATTCTTGATAATGATGTTGTCAAGACTGTCGATGATACCTGTATTCTACAAAATGTTTACTTTGAAGTAAATAAAAGGCGAATCTGAAGAAATCTTGCAGTGTTTTTTTTGTTTAAATCAACTTAAAACAGACAGATATTTTTCATTGATATCGGAAGATGGTCGCGCAGTTTCGCAAATTTACTACTGTTAAGTGTTAAAATATTCGATGCCTATAAGTGAAGTTTTTGCCCCAAGATCGGTTCAGACCCTAGTGGGGTCGGAGATCCCCACATCTAGGGTGTTGCATGCTGAGATAAAATAGGTGTAAAATGTATCCTACTTTTGAATAAGTGTCTCAGATTAATCCATGGTGCAAAGCTTACTATGTACTATTGCTTATGCGCGATACTTTAAGTAAGATCAATTAGCTTTCAATTAAATATGAGATGAAAATCTTTATTTTAAAATTAATCCTATTTGAATATTACAAGAGTAGGACACATTTCCTCTATGCTTGTCCCACTCTTTCAGGTCACCTCTTCAAGGGTGGATATACCTTCTAGTTAGTAATATCGAAAACCAGGATGCTCAGGATACCAAGCTACATTATAAAGTTGTAAATTTAACCTCTAATACTTAGTGAACACAGAAAACACAATGATAAAATAATATTGACAAACGTTTAAAGACTAATAAAAATTGACCAGTGAACTATCAGTAAACTGTGAAGCCTGCCTAGTTAAAAATAAGAATCTATCCAAATAAAAACACTCTGTATATATCCCTTTTAGGATTAATTCAGGTCCCAAGCCAGGGTAAAGAAGGACGGTTGGGGATGGGGTCAGCCAACCCATCTTCCAAAAGTCGACCTTGTTAAGATAACGCTTACCGGAAAAAATCATTTTTACCATTTAAACTCCGCCCGGAGTGTTAAAAGATCTTCATGTAGAATAATTAAGACACGTCAATGTGAAAATTGACATTCTTCTAAAGTCACGAGGACGATGCTCTTTCTAACAACCGGATCAACAAATGATATATGTACGTGGAATGTCCGGACAATGTGGGAGACTGGGAGGACCAATCAATTAGCCGCGAAAATGAGGTGATACAACTTGCAATTCTCTGAATAAATGAAGCCCAAGCTGGACAGAAAACAGTAGCTTCGGGAAAGTTGTTGTTGTAGTCTGGTCATGAAGGAAAAGATGCTTCGTACATGCGAAGCTGCACTGGTGTTTTCCAAAGAAGCACGGAAAGTATGGGAACATCTTGGATCCAGGATCATAATAGCATTCTTCGAAACAAAGAAGGAACGCAAAATGTGAGAGACTTGAGAATTTGTGTAACTGCAACAAACTGGTTATAGGCGGTGCTATATTCCCCCAGAAAGATATATGAGTCTCACGGATCACAGTATAGAGACCACATTTGCTTCAATAAATTTCAGAATATCCATGGAACAAGTGAGAATGAAGAAAGGGACTGACATAGCTACAGGTCTGCACCTGGTGGTTGCCAGGATGAAAATAAAGCTAGAGAAAAACTGGACAAACAGCACTACAAATGTTCAATACAGCCTTCCTTCGAGATACTAACAAATTCAACGAATACAAGATAGCTCTCAACAACAGGTTCCAAGCGTTACAAGATCTACTCAGTCTATATTACTATAGAGAACAACTGAAAAGGAACAACTAAACACTAACTTCAACGTATCAGGGAGTCATTGGCCGCAAGAAGCAACATCATGACGAATGGATCTCTATGGAAACCCTGCACTAGTTTCAAGAAAGGAAGAATAAGAAGACAACAATTAACAACAGTTGAATAAGGGTAGAGAATGCCATGGCACAACCCGAATACACAGAAACAAACAAGTGTGAAGAGGAGCATAAAAGCCGACAAGTAGAAATACGAAGAAAAAGCACCAGGAGAAGGAAATATAAGACAGCAACGAACAAACGAGTAGGGAAATATGGCAAACCAGTGAGACCGGTCAAGGACAAAGAAGGCAAGACAATCACCGAGGTTCAAGAACAGAGGAACAGATGGGTAGAATACTTTAAGGAAATCTTGAATAGATCAGCTACATTGAATCCACCGGATATCGAAACAGCACACACAGAATGCCCCCAAATGCCCTGGTATGGACGAGAGTGAGGTGGGCCCTCCCTCCCTCTCGAAATGCTCTCACACGGCCACGCGTATACAGCCTCTGCCAGGGAAGTCCTACTCACTGTCTTCTCGTGGCGGGGGGTGTTGTTTACGAAAATGAGAAGGCGAAAAGCGAATTTCCGGCGCTTTAAACGGATCCAAACTGGTGGTGCACATGGGCTCCAGTATCCTGAGGGAACAAATGGCGTATGAACCAATTGTTGGTCACCGGCTACCATGGGACTACATCTCCTCACGATGCTCCACTGCCTTGTGGATCAGACCCTTAGGTCAAAGGCTCGGGGAATGGCCCCCTAAGAGAACCACCTGCTTCGGTCTGGGCACCCGGGCAATATCACAGCCCACACACAAATATGATGAAATGTCATGGCGCATATATATTTGGTGCCCTCTTGTACCAATATATATGTGTTCAAATAAAACAAAATAATAATACGCACAGAATATCCTATAAGTGTCACTCCACCAACGATCGAAGAAATCAGGATGGCCATCAGACAAATCAACAGAGGGAAAGTAGCAGGACCTGACAATATATCAGCTGAAGTCAGACATGGAAACAACTACAAATATGTTTCACATTCTATTCAGGAAGATTAAGGTGGATGAACAAGTGCTGACAGACTGGAAAGAACGATACCTCATGAAAAGTGAGATCTAAGCGAGTGTGAGAGTTGCATAGGCATCACAAGTAACTAGGCTGCATCATTGATAAAAATGGAGGATATGATGTATATCTGAAGGCACTGTTTGGAAAAGCAAGGACAATACTCCTGAAATTGAAGGTGTGTAACTCAGAACAATCGTTAGCCAACACGAAATTCAAAATCTTCAGTGTGAACGTGAAGACAGTTTTTATTTTAAGGAGCTGAAACTTGGAGAACGACCACAATCATCATCATTATGTTGTGCCAATCATAAATCTAATGACAAGTGTATGTCATTGGCCAAGGAACGGTTTCATTTTCTAAGGAGTAGTTTTGTGTATATACATGTACGATTAAGTATTTGATTCAGTTTAGGCCAATTAAACTTCATTCTCCACCCTTTGTGTTCTCACTCAGTAGCCGGTTGCGGACTTGTGTATCAGTAACAAACGCGAAGACTTTGTGTAGTAACGAATATCATATGTCTTCGTAATTTATGTATTTCAGGAGTTTTCTTCCAACTTCTTCATCCCAAACAACATTTATAAAGAAAGCTGTAATGCTATCAATTTTTAGATGACTTACTGCAACCTCTAGGATACCCATTTTCTATATGTTTAAACATTACCTTATAGCGTTCAGTACTATGTCACGCTTATGTGGATTATTCTGGCCTTTGAACAGAACGATTAACCTATTCTTCTTGGTCCATTATCCACACATATTTTGGCCTTGTCAGTTATTTGCTTATAACCTTTACCGTTTTTATCTGAGCGCCTATGTCTATCACTTACCCTATTCTTCGTATAGCTTTTGCTTATTTTTCTCTCTGACAATAACTATTGAGTCATGCTTTATAAAATAGAGTTCTCACGCTCTCCTTCTCTTCTGTGTATACCTTAACCGTGGAGAAAAGCGTTCTTTCTGCCCTTCACGCCATTTCTCTTGTGTTCAAGTTTCTATGTAGATTTAGCCTGAAGTTATTAGAAGTAGAAAGTAGATGGGACCGAGGGTTCATTTAACAGACTTCACAACCTATGGAGTTTCATGAGAGTTAACACTTTTTGAAAACGCTTTCGAATGAAAATGAATGATATCACCATTCGGCTTCTAATGAGTAATGTGGAAGTTAACAGTAAAAATAAAGTTCACAATTGAATTCTAACACGATTGTGGGATAATAGGCATTATTTAGAGTTCGAGTATGTATTACTGAATCCATTAAAAGGACGAATACTGTAAAAGTTGTAATCAGCTTTTTGAATTTTTATTAGTCATAATGACTAGAATACTACGTATACTATATTCCATTTATCAAAAGCTTTTGGTTAACCCATTAACTACGATTATGCGATGTACTATTTCTAATTTGTTCCCAGTCCAGTACTTACGGTCTCACTTATTCACATCTACTCTTGTCTTGTTTATGCATAATTGTTTCATTTTATGCACACACGGTCCGGGATATCTGTATATAAACCACCGCTGCTTGAAACATAATATTGTAAAGATCAAAATAACTATACACAGATTTCCAGTTCGTACTCCCGATAATTCAGCTCGTTTGACTGTGTAGATTACTCTGAAAAATGACTTTAGTAAAGTAGCATGACTTAAAATGCGTACATGTCCTCATATTGAACTACTGATTATTCTTTATTATCTTTTAAAAAAACTAAACTGAATAATATTCTGAGATGAATTCAATAATGCTTCATCTTATGCAACCAATATAATTTATCCCATAAGAACAAGTGTTGGCCGGACACTATCAGCAACAACCTACTATGGGAGAGAACAAATCAGATCCCAACGGAGGAAGAAATCAGGCAGAAGCTCTGGAAGTGGATAGGAAACACATTTAGGAAAGCACCCAACTGCATCACAAGCTAAGCCCTCACTTGGAATCCTCAAGGACAAAGGAGGAGAGTAAAACCAAAGAACATGTTACGCCGAAAAATGGAGACAGACATGAGAAGAACGAACAACAATTGGATAGAACTAGAAAGGAATGCCCAGGACAGATTGGTTTGGAGAATGTTGGTCGGTAGCCTATGCTTCATTGGGAGTAACAGGTGTAAGTAAGTAAGTAATGAAAACAAG